TTTTTTTTTACCAAAAACCTACCTTATGATGACTGCCCTCCCTTCTGGGAGGTGGGACAGTGAGCCTTACTAACCTGCCCTGCTAGCAATAGCAGTTTAAAGGTTGCACCCTAAAGGTGACAGTGGTTTTGGTTTTTATCATCATCCACCATTCCAACGGGGAGTGGAAGCGGTAGCTTTCTAGGGCTGTGAGGTCAGAACAGAGCAAGCCTTTCTAGTCTCAGACCTGAACATTTCCATCACTGGAGACTGGCCTGGCCTTCCGGACACAGCTGCTGGACACTGAGGTTTCTTTTCTGCCCTAGTGGAGATGGACTCTGCTACTCATTTAAAAGCCAAGCACCATAGGAGGACAACTCATTCTCTTGGAAGAACTGGTTTGGTTAACTGCTGGCCATTGGTGGCAAAATAGAAACGACGTTTTTATTTCTCCCTCCCCCTCCTGAACATTTCAGAGTGACCAGTGGTTGGACTCTTGGCGGCGCTTACCCTGAACCTGAGTGTTAGGGGAGAGGGAATCTGCCGTTGCGGTTTCTGGAGCTGCTCATAAGCAAGAATTCCCTATCCTGATCAAGGCTTTAAGCCTAAAAGAAAGCAGAAATAGGTATGGAATATCTCTGTTTGAGTGTATGTATTCTCATGTGTGTGTGTATGCATGTGTGCCTGTGTGCATGCTGGGTGGGAAGGGTGTGATGTGGGAGGGGGTGGTATACTTTTCAGGGTCGAAGGCAGCTCAGTGTCTGCATTTCCCTGCTTTACAGGGAGGGTTTGTAAGTCATTTTTGCTTTAATACCATACATGTTCCTGTTTCCATTTTTTGAGCAAGGAACAGTAATTTGGTAGTCATCTCTCTAGTTTTGGGCACCAAAAAAGATTTATATATTATGTTTGTCAGCCTATCAGAATATCCCAATTTGACATTCCTGGAAGGACACTGGGAGGAAGGGAAAAGGGACTGCGTTGCTTAACCCACTGATGTTCTCTTCCTAAGAGAATATGATAAAAGGGACTTTGGAGGGTCCCTTTGTGTTGTCAGACTGCCCAACACAACAGCTGGAAGCCAGGTAGCAGTAACCAACAAGAAGTAAAGAAAGAGTGAAGATGAACTTTCTTTATATATTATACACACATTCTGGGCCACTCTTTCTGCATGACCAAAAGTAAGGGGTTCATGTTTACAGAGAGATTGCAGGCCACTTAATGTCATGGAAATAAGAGCCTGGGAGCCAGGGATCCAGAGTTGTCCTCTGGAAACCTGACGCTGGTTAAATTGACCTTTATTGTGACTTTTTGTGTGACATTGTGTTCATTCTCCACCAATTACTTAAGATCCTTAGAGTGAAAGTTTCATTATTGAACATTAGTATTTAATTCCAATATTTAACATGACAGATTTTATCCAAAGAATTTTTGAATCTCTAATGAATTAGTGTGTACTATACAGTGCTGAGAGAGAGAGAAGTCATCTAGCACTCATTTTTCAGTTGAGAAAATAGAAGTCAAGAAAAGATGAGTCAGTTGTTTATCTCATAAACCAATAGTATGATTCAAATTTGAATATTAAATTGTGTTACTAAAGTTATCAGTTTCAGTCAACCCATTTTACCTTTTTAGAAGAATTGGTGGTGAGGGAGGGTATATGCTAATCATACGCCCTTTCCAGAAGGATGACCTTTATATTTTTCAATGTCTAAATTTTGCCCAAGGCGCACTTCAAATGAAAGTGACTTCCCCTTTAAGCTTCTCTTACCCAATAACAACAACAACAAATCTCAATGACTATTTCTGGAGGGCCGAAAGAGCAACTTTGTCGGTAATAAGTATTCCAAGTCATTCCCTTATTAAGCCAAGGAGCACCCAAAATGGACACTACAAAAAGGATTTTTTAAAAAGATATTTCAGAGCCTTATGAGATCAGAGGAAAAGATTTGCATCAAGGCAGAGATCATTACTATCTGGTGCAAGCCAAGCTCTCTTCACTTTTTATTTATTTGAGTCTTTATTTTGGATTTTGTAGCTCCCTTCATATGCTGAGGTGCTTTACAAATCCTGTCATGGGGTGACTTACCCCACTGTCCTGCCCCCACTTCCACAGCCATTAGAGTTGGGTTTTTAATTTAAATAGAATACAGAGAGATGAAGCCTGTGAGTGTGGACCTTGAAAGATGACACACTTTGATTACCCTACTTGACTGTTCCAGGTTTCTCAAGCGTTCTTAGGAGTTAAGTCCAAATTAAATATTTAACTCATGCTAAAAGTGAAAGAGGAAACCTAGAGCTCTTACACCTCCACATTCCTCATCGTATCAGTGCTAGAGTCCAGAATCCCCAAGTCTATTAATTTTAGATTCAGTTCTCTACTTTGTTTCTGCAATAGAATCCTCACCCTCCAATATACATTTTGTTTCCTTTAGAGGACTGATTTATCCATCAACTAGGTGTTAAGCTTCCTGTTTCCCCTTCCCAGGTCAAGGGCAGCCCAGGTGCCCAATTTCTCTCTCTCTTCACAAGGCACCACCAGCAATAGAGATGAGAAATTCTGAAGAACAGCCAAGTGGAGGTACCACAGTATTGCAGCGTCTGCTACAAGAGCAGCTTCGCTATGGCAATCCTAGTGAGAATCGCAGCCTTCTTGCCATACACCAGCAAGCCACAGGGAATGGCCCTCCTTTCCCCAGTGGCAGTGGGAACCCAGTCCCTCAAAGTGATGTGTTGAGTCCCCAAGACCACCACCAACAGCTAGTGGCTCATGCAGCTCGACAAGAACCCCAGGGGCAGGAAATCCAGTCAGAAAACATTATCATGGAGAAGCAGCTGTCTCCTCGAATGCAGAATAATGAAGAACTCCCGACTTATGAAGAAGCCAAGGTCCAGTCCCAATACTTTCGGGGCCAACAGCATGCCAGTGTTGGAGCTGCCTTCTATGTCACTGGAGTCACCAACCAGAAGATGAGGACCGAGGGACGCCCATCAGTTCAGCGGCTCAATCCTGGAAAGATGCACCAAGATGAAGGACTCAGAGACCTTAAGCAAGGGCATGTACGTTCCTTGAGTGAACGACTAATGCAAATGTCACTGGCCACCAGTGGAGTTAAGGCCCATCCACCTGTTACCAGTGCTCCCCTCTCCCCACCACAACCCAATGACCTCTACAAGAACCCCACCAGTACCAGTGAATTCTACAAGGTCCAAGGGCCACTTCCTAACCAGCATAGCCTGAAGGGCATGGAACACCGAGGCCCCCCACCAGAGTATCCCTTCAAGGGCATGCCACCCCAGTCTGTAGTGTGCAAGCCCCAAGAGCCAGGGCACTTCTATAGTGAGCATCGCCTGAACCAGCCAGGGAGAACAGAGGGGCAACTGATGAGGTATCAGCATCCCCCTGAGTATGGAGCAGCCAGGTAAGAGAGTTCTCTTTCTGTCATTTCCTGACCTCATCCCCAACCAGCTTCTGCTGTATGTTGGGAATCTTAGGGAAGGAATGGGCAGGTGTTTGGTATAAGAAACTGCAATGCATGACAGGCCTCTGGCTTAGTGAATTGCCTGCCAACTTGAACTTGTAGCCTCTTTAGCCATAATTGGCACTATATTAGCATTCCCTTAGCTTTGTAGGTTGACCATGGCATCAACTGCCTAGTGGAAGAACAGGAGCAGGTCTTGATTTCAGCAGTTATTCACTGTCCTCTCTCCTAGGATGTTGAAGAAGGGATCTGTGTTTCACTGAAGCCTTCCTAGAGAAGTAGAAACAAATGATCTTGCACGTTAATTAGTACGGAATATCCTATCACTCTCACATACTCCCCTGTATCATTTATTTTTGCAAACAAATCTGTGTATTTCTTGTCAGTTATCATTTCCATAGATTACCATAATTCTTCTGGACACTAAACAAACATCCAGATGTTATGGTAGGGGAGCTATGTATGTATGTAGGCTCAGAATGTTACTTGCCTTATACTTGCAGTTTATGAAGTCTGGACTGTTTTATCTTTTTTTGGTAGAGAGTTTATTAGTTGCCTGTCACATTTTTAAACCTTAGAGTTAAATTCCCATCACATTGTAATAGAAATTTTGGTCAGATGCTAAAATACAGAAGGAAAAATATTACCATGGTTCCTGTCTTATATATTTAGTTGTTCCTATATATACTTACTAATTATTCAGAGGTCCATTATACCACTGCTATATTCACTAGACCTTATGATTCTGTGATTCTGTTCATTGTTCCTATTGTTAGTATTTGGGCCATGTCTCTGATCAGTAGTATTTCAACATAGAGGGCAAGGGAAAAGGCTTAAACTGTGGGCACCGATGGTGGCATTTAAGTGTGGTATTCCTGCCTCATGACCATGAGTAATGATGGATGGCCATCAGGTTTGAAGTGCTTGGTCCTAGGCTGGCTTTCATCTATATGTGGCTCACAGACTAGGTCTGTGATGTCCTTTGATGTTTACCTCTTTGTCTCCTGTACTCTACTTGCTCATTTTGGAAAAAATACCTTGGCTTGAAGTTCATTGAGTGACTCAGGAGAAAAGGCAATCAGGGGGTGGAGTAGGGTGAAAGTAAGAGAAGGCACCTAGCATTTCCTCGTATTTCTTTTTTCGCTCTCCAGGTTCTGTTTTTTTTTTAGCTAGAGGCAATTCACTTTGGACTCCACCCCTAACTTTTCCAGTTTAGGATTTCTTTTTTCTCTTTTAACCCAGGTTGATTTCCTAACCCTTTTCAACCTACTCTGTGCAGTTTTCAAAGGGCAGGAGCCTATGTTCTGATAAGTGTCTTGGAACAGGAAATGGGATAACCTACAGGGCCATTCAGGTTTAAAACAGAGTAAGAACCAGATTCCCATCTGACCAATGAAACAGAAGACCCAGGGGTGGGTTGATCTGTTCAAGAATGCTTCACTTAGTGGAAACCCATTCAAGACAGCAAAATGTCAATGAAGCTGGGGGTTTTTCGTTTTGCTTTTCCCATCAATATGGAAGAGTCTGTCGATGGGGCTGATGTTGGCTGCCTTGTGGGAGGGGAGTGTGTTGGCTGGGGTGTGGAGCAGAAGCCACAGCCCCACTCCGCACACAGCCTGCCTTCCTGGGAAAGCTATTTTCAGAACTAATTCACCAGTATTGTTGGTGATCTGAAATGACTCCCACAGTGTTTGAAGCAAGATGGAGAAGCCCTTTGATCTGCCTAAATAAATAATAAAAAGCCCAAAGAGGTTTTCTTTTCTTCCCATGCTGGTTAAACCACCAGAGAAATTTAGCTGCATGTATTTTACAGGAAGATACATATTTTTTATCCTCCTACCTAAGTTATCTGTGGATTTCTCTTTTCTTTCTGTCCTCAAAAGCAAGAGAGTCCATACTGATCTACCCTTGTTGAGTAGCATTTTAATACACAGTTTTGCTATAACAGTTTTTTTCTCTATGGGAGAGGAGTGGAGTGCTTGATAATGCTTGATGAGTAAGCAAACCTAAAATGGACCTAGTGGGAGGATGCTCCATATGAAATTTGGGTCTGCATCAGGCAAATTCTGGCTGTAAAATTGTTGCAGGGACCTACATGAGGGAGTGGCACCTATTGACAAGTTACTGGCAAAAGGAGGTGGTTGAACTGCTTTCCAGAAGTGTACTGCTTTTAGGTGGTGACACATTTTCCCTCCTTTATTTCCTTTAACCAACTAGCTATACAGTTTGTGCGTACCTTTCCAAGTAACTGCTGCTAGCAGCAACCAATTAGAAGACTAAATTCTGAGTCTTTAATCCACAAATTACAGATCAGGATGCAAAGCAGGCTCTTTGAGCAAATTGCTGTTAAGAAAACATTTGTTTGCTTTTAGAGGTACAGTGAACTGCTGGAGATTTGCTGTTAAAATGAACAAAATGTTACAAACAATCCTTTTATTACTTCATCTTTCCTATGCCCTCCTCCCTACTTAAAAAATAAATATCTTGAATGCCCAGAACTCCAGATGAGAAACAAGGCCAAGCCATCTGAAGAATTTTAAAATTTCAGAATCTTTGTCTTTCTAAGTGCTGAACCTTTTCTGCATCCTGGGTTTATACATTTATTAACTGCTTTTAAAAATTAAATCATTTCTGTTTATAAAGCAGCCACCTCCTTTCAATTGTTGAAATCATGCCCAGATCTGAGGTTTCTTGAAATCCTTGTTTAGTGGAATCTAAGGGTGACCTAACTCTAGTTCAGAGCAGAGCTGGTTGTGCAAGAGAAACCATCAGGAATTTGCAGCCTGCTCCAGGATTCACAGATTCACGGATTCACCATTGCAGAGCCTGGGAAAGGCAGTTTCTGTGGTGAGGATCAATTGAGTTCCAGGCTATTGGTAGCACCAGCTCTGGTGAGAGTGTGTGTGCAGGCTTGCACATGTGTGGGCCAGGAGTGTGGAGTGTGTGTGTGCATGCACATGTTTGCAAGTGTGTGTGGCTGGGGAGGGTGAGGGCTCCCAGTTATTGAGGTGGCAGGGTGGAAGGTACTGTGTCAGCTGAGTAGAGTGGCTTTTACTTTCCCTTTGTGTCCTTACAATTGTCTCTGGGAGAGAGTGTTCTCCCAACCCCATTCCCCAAGCTTTGGGGAGGATCCTGATTTTAATCACCAGCCTTTGTCCTGCATGTATGCTATGTCCCTTTTTCTGCAGAGCCCCAGTGGCCCACGTAGCCTTAGGAAAGAGCAGGGTGAAGGGAGGGAAGTGACGGGAGGCAGGTCAGGGCTTGCATGGAATCATATGATTCTGTTGTCTGCAGGCAGCTTGTTGTTCCTGGTTAACGTGTCAGTGGGGAGTGATTCAGACTGCTGTGTGCCGCTCACGTGGCTGCCACCTTTTTTATTACTGTCATTACTCTTACTGTTATTATTTAATCTTGGCTTCCTCTGACATCCCCCAACACTCTTCCTTACCCCTGTCATTCCTTAATCTCTTTTTCTCAGGGGGAGCTTCAACCCAGTGTTCATTCCCTCCTGTTTCCTCCTGGTGGGTGGATGCTGGAGCCCAGATGGAGTTCTTTGCTGAAGGGCTTTCTCTCCCTTTTCAACTACCCAAGCCGTTGCTTGTTTGCAAACCAGCCGGTGACGGGCTGCCTTGGTTTTTCCAACATCACAGTGCACTGAGATCTGCTTCCTTTTCCAGCCTGGGGAACTGAGGGGCAGCTGCCTTGTCTCTGTTTATCTTCATCCTCAGCTTATCTGACCCTGGAGACCTCCTTCTAGAGACCTTGTGGTCTCCTTCCCAAGGACCCTGGAAGGCTATATGTTGTTGTCCAGGGAATGGAGGGGCCTTTCGGTCTGCAGGCAGGAGGGAGGCCAGTGGCTGAGTTTGTTTGAGAGAAAGGCCTGGGTTGTTTGATGAGGCCCAGGAGAGCAGTGGGGAGAAAGCCCAGTTCAGAACTGGGCGTTCAGTCTTTAAAAGAGAACACCTCCCAGGTCTTGAACTTGCAAATCCTGGGAACGAGAATGAAGGTTAATACTGTGATTTTTTTCCTTAAATTTTGAGAGCTGCATTGGAGAACATGAAACTTAAGCGCCTCTTTTTTATTTCTTTTTCTTTCTGTTTTTTGTTTGTTTGTTTGTTTTTGTTTGTTTTTTTTTTTGGAATGGAGTCTTGCTCTATCTCCCAGGCTGGAGTACACTGGTGTGATCTCAGCTCACTGCAACCTCCGCCTCCTGGGTTCAAGTGATTCTCCTGCCTTAGCCTCCTAAGTAGCTGGGATTACAGGCACGCACCACCACGCCCGGCTAATTTTTGTATTTTTAGTAAAGATGGGGTTTCACCATGTTGAACAGACTGGTCTTGAGCTCCTGACCTTGTGATCTGCCCGCCTTGGCCTCCCAAAGTGCTAGGATTACATGGGTGAGCCACCATACCTGGCCCAGCCCCTCTTTTCTGCCTTCAAAGCAGAAAAGAGACACAAGCCCCAACAAATCTCAGGACATTATATTTTAACTCTGTGGACATGCAGAAATTGCAATAGCTCTCATTCAAACAGGAAAGAGAGCACATAGTCTTTTACCTGTGAGGAAACTGAAGATCCATAGAATGGAAAATAGGAGCTCTTCACCAAATAAATGTATAAATAACTCCCAGGCTTTTGATTGAATGAGTGCTTTGAGCTCTGGGGAAAAAATGTTTTGTATGGCAGAATCTTTCCAGTTGTGCACTGAGGTCTGCTTCCTGAGTACCATGTCAGTTCTTCTGTGCCCAAGTAGTTTGCATGTCCTCTACAATATTTGGCAGTTATTTATAATGACAGATGTATGTGATTAGAAGAATGTGGGTACACCAGAGGCATAGATGGGGCTGAGGGACAGAATCCAGGGTTTGAACAGGTTTGAGGACTCTTGGAGAGATATATGTGATTGGGTATCTGTGAGAAAGTGTTTGGAATGATTTTGTAGCTATAAAAAGCCCTTCTAGTGAAGATCTCTTGTAGAGTTGGATAAATGAACAGTAATGGTAACTGGAGTGTGTGTGGGAGGAATGTGCTTTAGCATCTGGAATGCCAGTTAAAAGTTAATTGCTTCTGGTGATTTGTCCCAGTTCCACCATGAATTTTATGCAATTTACTGAAAAGATTAAATGGATATCCTTTAAGTAACAAGCTAACAAGGTCAGCTTATCTCACTGGGAGGTAGAGGAGAGACTCTTTGTAATTCCTACTATGCCAAAAATGAGAAGACCCCAGTATTTTTGCAATTTATTTGTGACCTCAAGAATAAAAACGGCTCATGCAGATTAAGTAACTTGTGTAAGGTTACACAGCTAGTGAGCAGTAGAAGAGGTCTCCAGACTCCCTCTGTTGGGATCCAGATCCCATGCACTTAGCCATCTGTCTTCCCAGGATTGAGAAATATCAACTGTAGAACAAGTATCCACAGGACATGGGAGCATATGAGGATAGTTGGGCATGAGCTGGGGGGTGAACAAGCTTTTTGCCTTCAGTGCACACTGACAGATACTATTCCTGGTAGTGGTGACGGTGGAAGTGATCCATCCACATAGTTGTTTCCCTTAATGGCTAATAGTCATTAGGTACGAATTATTTGTACCTAGGTACTAGCATTTTGTACCTGGTAATTAGGTATAAAAATGGGAGAGCCATATTAAACAATGTACCAAAAGTCTCTTTCTGGAACTTTCTATGAGCAATAGGCTGGAAATCTGAATATCGGTGCACAGAAATCAATGCATTATGGCAGTAGAAAAAGCCAGAAAATGGGAATTGGGAAAGAAGGATTCTACCCTGGCACTACCACTCTATTATTTGGCAAATCTCCTCCCCTTTCTGGACCTCATTCCCCATTTGTCCAATGATGGAGTTGAACTAAGTAATTTTCTTTAAGGCCTTTCCGGTTCCTACATTTTGTGATTCATTACATCAAAAATAGTATGTTAGTGTTGCTTGTATCCCTCTTCAAGTCTTTTTATGGTTACTGCTAATGGGAATCATTAAATCACTAACAACTGGAAACAATAATAATTATCTAGTGTCTCTACTACTAGTATCTACCTATCCTGGAATAGATTTTTGGTGAATGTATGAATTACCTAAGGGAGTTGCAGATAGCAAGATGAGGGGTGGTTTTTATGGCTGTTTGTTTTTTCCTTCCGGGCAAGTGGAACATAATTTCTAAACTAGGATCTTTATGTGTGCTGGACCACATGCGTAATGTCAGAAAAGGTTTAATTTAAAATAATGAGATGAAAATTACCTTGTAAAAGAATCGTTTGAAATGTTTAGACTTGAGCAACGGGTCTACAGGTGTGTGTCACTACGATTTTCACAAAGTGACCATGGAGGTTGTCTGGCTCTGTCCCTCATGGGATCACACCTCTGTTTGTCAGGCAGAGTCACAGAAGGTCAGGCCGGGAAAGGGCAATTGTCTTTGCAGAGATAGAGCAGGCAGGATTAGACTTCCACATAGTCAAACCCTACCTGTTCTTCATTTTGCATGTGTCCTGGAGGCCTCAGAAGCCTCCTCATCTCACTTTCGTGTGCCCTTCTCCCCCAATGCCTTGGGAGAGAACGTAACCCACACCTGCCCTTCATGTTTTACAGGCCAGCACAGGACATCTCATTGCCATTGTCAGCCAGGAACTCTCAGCCTCACAGCCCTACTTCTTCTCTGACCTCTGGGGGGTCCCTGCCCTTGCTACAATCTCCACCATCCACTAGATTGTCTCCTGGCCGACACCCCTTGGTCCCAAACCAGGGAGACCATTCAGCTCACCTGCCTAGGCCGCAGCAGCATTTCCTTCCTAATCAGGCTCACCAGGGGGATCATTACCGTCTCTCCCAACCTGGCCTGAGTCAGCAACAGCAGCAACAGCAGCAGCAGCACCATCATCACCATCACCACCAACAGCAGCAGCAGCCACCACAGCAGCCAGGAGAAGCCTATTCAGCTATGCCTCGGGCTCAGCCATCCTCTGCTTCTTATCAGCCAATGCCAGCAGACCCTTTTGCCATTGTTTCCAGAGCCCAGCAGATGGTTGAGATCCTCTCAGATGAGAACAGGAACTTGCGGCAGGAGTTGGAAGGATGCTATGAGAAGGTGGCCAGACTGCAGAAGGTGAGGCTTCCATTTTGGGGTATCAGGGTCTCTAAATCTTATTTGTGGGACTTGTTTAATACCCATATTAAGTCTCCACTTGTGAATCCCAGCATTACTTATGGCAGGTCTTCTGGATTTTTATATCTGAGGTTTAGATATGGGTCAAACTTTGGAAAAAGCCTTCTACCTATATACCTAGGAGAAGTAAAATCTTACATTTACACAAGGAGGAAAAAATTTATGCAGTTTTTCTAGATGCCATAGCCCTGAAGAAACATGGTTGATTCTTTTAGACTTCCAAAAAGCAGCAATACTTCTCTTCTTTTTTTTTTTTTTTTTGAGACAGAGTTTTGCTCTTATTGCCCAGGCTGGAGTGCAGTGGCACGATCTTGGCTCACTGCAAACTCCACCTCCTGGGTTCAAGCGATTCTCCTGCCTCAGCCTCCTGAGTAGCTGGGATTACAGGCCTGTACCATCATGCCTGGCTAAATTTTTGTATTTTTTTTTTAAGAGATGGGGTCTCGCTATATTGCCCAGTCTGGAGTGCAGTGTCTATTCACAGGTGTGATCCCACTACTGATCACCATGGGAGTTTTGACCAGCTTTGTTTCTGACCTGGGCCGGTTCACCCCTCCTTAGGCAACCTGGTGGTCCCCTCTGCCCGGGATGTCACCATATTGATGCCAAACTTAGTGCAGACACCTGATAGGCACAGCACACTACAGCCCAGAACTCCTGAACTCAAGCAAGTCCTCCCACCTCAGCCTCCCAAGTAGCTGGGACTATACGCACGAGCCACTGCACCCGGCAATTGTTTGCATTTTTAGTAGAGACTGGGTTTCACCATATAAGCCAGGCTTGTCTCGAACTCCTGACCTGAGGTGATCCACCTGCCTCGGCCTCCCAAAGTGGTGGGATTACAGGTGTGAGCCATTGTGCCCAGCTGATACTTCTTGATAAGAATATTGGTGATGCCTGTGTAGGTACAGGACCTGATGGCACCTTAAGGCTCATTGTCTTGGTCACATTTTCCCAAATATAAATTTGAATTTTAAATTTAAAAATAAATGTAGTTCCTAGAAAAAAATCTCACCAGCTGAAGTTAGAGCAGTCCTGCCTTGTTCTGGAAAAGGCTCAGAATACTTTTCCTAGTGGGAGTTCTCATAGTAATTGTCTTTCAGCAATCCCTCCTCCCCACCCTTTGATTTGGTCCCTCCCTGCAGCTCAAATTCAACATCTGCTCTCATTCACTGGTGGTGGGGGGGAGCTGGAGGGGCTTAGCACCACAGCTGGGTGACAGGTGACAGCCCTAAGCTAAGGAAATAGAAAAAGGAGTGTATCCCCAGTTTACATTCTTCTCTGCTCGCCCCTCCTCCTGCAGCTGGGACTTGAGCTCTGGAGTACCCCAAGCGAGGAACCTTAGCTCTCTGGCTTCCATTGGCTGCTGGTGAATAGGGTTATGCCTTTGACAGCTTCTTTGCAGCTTTTGTTATTGTGGAGCTCATGTGGTTTGATCTCCCTACAATGTGAATTGTTCAGAGAGGTGAGGGTGAAGGTCGGGGAGGGATGGGAGGATGCCTTGTATTGTCCAGCAACTCTGTCCTTAGAGGACACCAGGAGTGGAAATTTCAGAGGCCTGAATGAAGCTGAGTATTTGTAAACAAACACCAAATCTTAGGGCCTAAAGGGGACAAGGGCTTATTAACAGTAGAGGATTCTTATATAGGAAAATGGCTTCTGTGTCCATTAGTTTTCCTAAAACTAGATGAGGGTTGTTGGAGTGGTCTGAGAATTGTTTCTTCCTGGCATTTCCCTGAGTTTGTATTTTCACCCCTCATTTTAACTATATCCCTGCCCCCATCAGTTTGGTGGAATAAATTAATTAGAAACCCAATCTGGCTGATTAGGTTAACAGTTGACACCCCCCTCTCCAAACTCTCTCTTCAGGGTGACCCCAGCCAATTTTTTATAAAATCACTGAAGGATGAACCTAGCTCTTCTACAGCCCCTTTTTGCCAAAGGATCCATGGTGATTTTTTT